ATTTTTACTTTCATTTCTAGGGTAGAAAGAGGTTCAGCATTAATGTTTCAACCTACGTACGTTTATCTAGAAAACGAAGATTAGTGTGATGAATTATCAGCTCTCTACTCACCCTACCACAGCTACTGCTGATTAACAAAACAGTTATTCATATTTGCATTACTAAAAAAAGTCCATAAACATTTCATCTTGTCATTTTAACTAAGTTGAATCACAACTTTTCCAATATTCTGTGGGCCCTTCAACAATTTCACTTACTATTTATAATATGACTACTGATAGTGGAATCATTGATACGAAAATAAGGTTTAAACATAAAATTCATATCAAAATTATTTGGTAACACTAAAAATTACCAACGGAGTCTATATCTGACCCATAACTTTTTCAAAACATGAGGTATGCTCACCAATACCTTGTGTGTCATGTAATTCAATACTGTTACGACAGCGGAAGTCACGTGACGCTACTGGCTTGATGAGTTTCTCGAATGATCGAGTGTGTTAGAGATTCCCTCTTCATTAGTATATAAGCCTGGCAGAGAAAGCCAGCAGGGATTATATACACGAAGAGAGAGCAGTAGTTACTTTGAGTTTCGAGCTAGTGAGCCGTAAAGTGTACTTTGTACTCATCGAGAGCGAAGTTATCGAGATTGTGAATCGTTGTGATTTATAGCATACATTATAAAAGTTGTTAAGTTTAAAGTGATAAGAAACGTACTGATTGTGGAACTACTGCGTACTAAAAATTTGTTTTGAGGAAGAATAAACTGGTTTAATCAAAAAAGGACTTGTATCGCTGAAGATCCTCGGAAAGAATTTCTTCCGGAAACAAACTAACATGCAGATACGTAACAATACAATAACATGAGCTCTTTGAACAGTATCTGAGTAATAATCCTGCCATGCAAGTTGTAAATAAATTTACAACTATGTAGATCTTTATCCAGGAGGTTTTAGAGGTTATACAAATGGAATTTTAACATTTCATTTATTTACCATCTAAAACCTCCTGAATAAAGATCAAACTTTTTTTCAATTAAACTTTTATATTTTATATGTTATTTTCTCTACTCTTAACTGTGTATGGATTTGATTCAGGTGACTGTTCTTGTAATTATCATAAAAAAACAACTAAATAAATGTAAGTTACCCTTTTTGTTTTTTGAATAACTACAAATTGTAAAAGGCTATGACATCTGTTTATCTTAAATAGATAACAGTTTATATATGTTTCTGCTTAACTTTATTGTTTTATTGCAAATCTTTTTTTTATTAAACTTTATATGTCACTGCCACCTTTAAATGCATTTAAAA